CGGAAGGAAGCTGAGCGCCAAAAGGGGGGAACGAGGTCGGGGAGGAGGAGGAGGTGCACCCTAATGCAATCTTGCGCTCCGAGCCTCGCCCATTGTGGGGTGTTATACCGTAGCCCGTCGCTTTTACAGCGATCCATGTACTTATATACATGTACATTTGCGTATTTTAGGTAGGTATATATTTTAATACGTGTATCCCAGATTATACACAGAGATTTATATACACGCGGCCCCTTCGCAGGGGGTCATCCTACCGGCTTCCCGGCAATAAATGCAAATGCCTTTATTTAACTTGCTGCACCGGGCGAGTAAAAGAAAAAAAAAAAAAAAAGAAATTACAAACAATGAGAATATTTCGAAAGATTTTTCGAATTCACTTATACCTCATCCCGTCGATGGACCACTTCTCGATTGCAGCCCCGATTGCAGGGGGGAGGCGGCCTGCGGAAGAGCGGGGGTTGGTTTCAATCTCTCGTTTCCCTCTCCTCCTCCTCCCTTTCTCTCTCTCTCTCTCTTTCCCCCTCGGAGTACTTTCCCCGAGTTCACGATTCGCGATCGCGAATGGAACGGGATTGGCCGATGCGCCTTTGCACCGGACGCCCTGGAATCGATTTTCCCTAGGGAAGCTGCGTGGACTCGTTTAACCCTCGGATGCAAAGGGGCCCTACATATGTCTTCGCTGGTCGGATCGATCGGGAGCCCTCTTTTTCGTCGGTTTTATACGCCAAGGGATAGGAGTCACGGGACGGCGACTAAAATATACGACCTCTCCAGGAGAGACGAAAAGAAATGGAAAAAAAAAAACAAAAAAAAATGGGAATAGAAACCTGGACCCCCTCCCTTCGTTATCGAACCCCCCATTACCAATTACCCTCGGTGAGAGAGAGAGAAAAAAAAAAAAAAAAAGAAAATACCCGGCAAAGGGATTCCTAGAGTCTTGGAAACGGCTAATGGAGGCGGTTCCTTGACACGACGAGAGCCCTAATTACCCTGTACCGAGACTCGTCTCTACCGATCCGAGACAGGATGCGTAGAATCCGAGCCGACGAGGCCCGACGAGAGTCCGAAATATCGGGATGAATTATGCCTCGGTGGGTTCGTTAGCGTGCATCTCTAAATGCATCGGGGCTCTCTAGAACAAATAAGTCGTTCAGAGGTATCGGGAGGGCCAGCCGAAACGTGCCGAAACGTCGTAAATAAAATGGCCCGTTGCGCGGGACAGTGGTCGCGCTCGGATACAGATATTCATAGCCGCTTGACCCGAATGGACGCGGAACACGAGAGGCGCCTAATAAAACGTGAAATAGTACCGACCGTGGGTAGTTTCGTTGCTTAAGTCCCCCCGAGGTGCTCGGGAGCAGCGCCGCACCTTGCGGTGCATCGAGGTAGGTCGGGGTTGAGGGAGGTCAGGGGTTAAGGTAGGTCGGAATTGAGGCAGGTCGGGGTTGAGGCGGGTTGCGCGAAAAAGAAAAAGAAAAAGTACAACAGAGACATTTGCACTTTCAGCAAAGGCATTGCCGAGGAAAGTTTGCTCCTGCGGGAATAACTTTACAATGCGAAATGCCTAAAAAGGAGGTTATAAAATTACTACACCGAGCCAGAGGGAGACATCCTTTAACTTCCTTATCGCGGTTATCGCGAGTCGGCCAATCGGCTCCATGGGGAAAATCTCCCACGCCGGAAGTTTCTCTTCTCTTTGCGAGGTCGCAAAAGTCCTCGAAGGAGTCGCCCGGGAGGGTGGAGGAAAAAAAGGAAAAAAAAAAAAAGATCGAGCGAAAGAGGGAAACGGGGAAACCATCCGAAGTCGGCGGGCCCTCTCGGACGAGGTCGAGGTTTTAGTTTCGGTTTTGGTCCCGTCCCTGACGCTGACTGGCGATTAATTATCCACCAGGAGAGGCCGCGAGGACTCCTCTGCGCAGGACGAGCCTCGCGAGGTCCCTCCTGCGATCGATCCTCTCGACGTGGCATCGAATCCAAACTGACCGAATTATTAAGGCAATATTTGCCGACCCCCCGGGCTCCTCTAGAGGGAGAGAGGGAGCTTCCGCGGACTCCCTTCTATCGGAAGAGCCGCCTTTGATAACGACCACTATTTGCCCCGATACCCCATTAAAGAGGAGCCGAGATCCTTTCGACCGCCCCTCTCCGCCTTGCATATTTAACAGGCATAAATACTGGAATAAATAAAAATGAAACCCGACCCGTGGAGACGGGAGTCTTCAAAGGGTCCCTCTAACTCCTGCCATCGCTCTCGGTCCTCTACATTAAGAATAAATTAAATAACAAATATTATCGTCTCGGCAAAGGCAGGCCGCAGCCTCTAGCCGAGTTTCCGTTGTCGCTCCTTATCGGCGCATCGATAAACCGAACGATAATACAAACCTACTCTTCGTAAGGGGAAAGACAATCGACCGGTGGAGGAGTCATCCGTGACTCAGAGGTAAAAGTCTATTGACAATTTCTCTACGGAGCGTCGATCGGGTTTCCCGAACGCCTCGTCTCTTATCACGCGGATCTCTAATTAACCTCCTCCCGTTTCCCCCATAGCCGTGGAGATCCAAGGGAGGCGAGCCATTGGCCGGATCTTTTATTAAAATCTCGGCTATGTCCTCGTTAACGCGCGCAATTCGAGTGGCCGGCTCGGTAAGGAGGGTACCTGCCCATGATCGGTTTTACCCCGCTCTCGGGTTCCGGGGTAATTTGTATGGAAAACAAGGATTAAACGGGGGATGCTTAACCTCCTTGCCTACCCTTAAGACGGCTGCAATGGCTTCGGCCTCGATTAATTCCAAAGCCATCTTGCTTCCTCCCCATCGAGCGGCCGGCTATAGCTCATCCTCAAATAAGCCCTGCATACATATCTAACCGCCGTTCCTTCGGGATAAGAGGGGCTAATCTATCTCCGTGCATCTCCAAATATAGTTCCCTGCATCCCCCGGAAGTGATCGATCTTTATACGAAAACTTCATTAATAAATCCAAGGAGGCAGAATTTTCCGTCTACCGTGCCTCGGGATGTTATATCGACCTTATCAAATGGCAGCAAGTTCCATTTATTTTTGTTGATCGATCTTTAGACAAAAACTTCATTAATAAATTCAAAGAAAATATACGCGCTGCCCCCTCGGGGGGGTAATTAGGCCGAAATTGCCGAGTTAGAAACTTTTCGAAAATAAAGTCAACGAGACAGGAGAGCGATTTGAAGTTTTTCTTTTTCCTTTTCTTTTCTTCTCCGGATTTAAGGGGATTTATTTTATCTTCTGGAACGGGTAGACCAATCGAATGGCGATCGAACGGGGAGAATCGACGATATTGAAAGGTCTGCCGCAGAACGGCGCCGGGGACATGGCGTGATTAACTCCTTCGAGTCGGAATAATCCCCCTCTAATCAGATTACCGAAGGGAGATTTGTCGACTGACAATGTCTTGATTTCGAAGATCGACTCCGGCGATTCGATCGATCGTCCACGTGTACACGTCCGATACAGGAGAGCCCGAGATTTCTATTAGAAACTAGATCGTTACCATAAACTGCACAGATCCCACCGAAGGTGGAGGCGCGCCGAGTGCAATTCCAGCGGCTGGAGATTTTTATTAAAAAAGAAAAAAAAATATAGAGAGAAGAGGAAAAGCGAGAACACCCCAGAAAAGCCTAGCGGGATTAATTAATCGTCCTTTGTAAATGGGAGAAAAAATTTAATTAAAACGGGAAGAGAGGAACGAAGAGGAGAAGACTGACGGATCGGTGGAAACTTAATAGGACGGAATGGATCCGCGAATTAGCACAACAATGCGGCCATCGCCTTTTATCGGGAATATAATTCCGCCGCGGTTTTCCCGCCTGAAACGAACCGCGGCCTCAACTAAAAGGATGGATTTGCATTTTCCATTCCTCCCTGTTTCGTCCCGCCTCGGGAATCGCGCGTTTCGACCGATCGTTAAGTATTCCGACGGACCCTGCGGCCGATCAGCCGCGGATTCCGCGGAATCGCACCGCGACGTCGCGACCCGTCTGCAGAAATTGCAAATGACTTCCGATGACGGCGCGAAACCGCCAGCAGAAATTGTGAATGAATCTCACTGACGGCGTCGATCTCGCGAGCCGATCAGCTGATCGGAGGAATCGCCCTTCTCGGTACTAATTGTAACCCGCCGTCCCAGCTGGCAACTCGTGATTGCAATTAATGTCCATTTCGCGAGGTGCCCATTGTCCCCGTGCTAATCGAAATCCTCTGTGCGTTATCCCGTGGCACGGTGTCGTCCAATTACACGAGTCATAAAAATGGGAGCGTTTGATCGCCTCGTTTCGGTACGTCGAACGATCAATCCAATCGAAACTCTCCGTTCCACTTTACGATGGTTTAATACCGATTTTGGACATTTCCCATACAAGTACGTGTACAAGTACGAGCCAAGTACCTTCGCGAACGGGTTAAACGCAAGTCCGGTAAACGACTCGGTCTCTGACGTAACCGACAAGGGGGGAGGTCTAATTATAATGTTTCGCGATTCCGCGTATTACGTGGGCGATCCATGAGCCGCGGTACGGAAGAGGCAAAGAGAAATGGACGATAGACGGGATGCCCGCGGAATGCTTTTGCGTCTAGCAGCTGCGAGACAATGTCCCGTAGTTTGCGGCCCTACGATGCCGCTTATTAAATGCACTTAGATGCGCTTACCCAAGACTCGCGAAAATCCCGTCGAATCCGTCCTAGATAAACCCTCGGGGAAATAACGAGCAATTGGATCCCCGGATCCAATCGCGGCGTTTTTTTTTTTTTTTTCCGTCACCCCAAGAAATTAACCCATCGGGACCGAAGGAACGATATTGTCAATTCAAAGAGAATAATTCATCTCGCTCGAGGGATATGCAACCGAATGATTGTACTTATCAAAGGGTTAATGTAAATTACCCGCGCGCTTAGGGAACTTGCACTGATCATTTTCTTAAAGGGGAAGGTTGGATGGAAATTAACCGTGGATTTAATATCTCGGTTCCAGGTGACGACCGTACCGGAAGGCGAAAGGGGCGAAGAGAGCTTCAAGATGCCGCGAGCTTCCGTGGTCCACATGACGTCTACGGCGACGAGGCCCCAGCACATGGCGCAGGTCTGGTGCCCTCCTCAGTGCGAGCACAGTGCCCCCCCTAAGTAGATTTATTTGGTAAAAAAGCTCCCAAGGAGAGGAGCTAAGCTTCGGCGCCGAGAGCCGGAGAATTAAGCCCTTTCTTTCGGCCCCCGTCGTTATAATCCCGGAGTCGATCGTTCGGAGGTAAAAAAAAAAAAAAAGGGATAACTCGGCGCGAAGGTTAACCTCAATCCTTTCGGGATCCCGCCTAAGATCCGCCCGCGATCGGGCTTTCAATCTCGAATTTTTATCGATCTTCGACTAAGTCCCGCTTTGATACGGTGGCTTTGGCTCGCGGCCATATTTAAATGCAAAGCGACACCTCGAGAGGATTCGCCCTATGGAGGCGAAAATTTCCTATCTCTCCTGAATAAGAAATTTAAAAAACGTCTAAATCTCCACATATCCAATTATTAGTACACTTGTCGGGCATATGAAGCGGAGAGACGGGGGAAAAAATGTATTATAAGAAAGAAAAAAACCACAGCAATCCATCGTAAAAGTGCATCGAGCCGAATCGAAGGGCGTCTCCTTCCCTCCTTCCTGCCTCGACTCCCGCTCGATTATTCCATTATTCCCGGCACTTATCAATCCTTTTACAGAGCCCTTCCCCGATAAGACGCCGCTCGGGAAGTCCTCCTTCCCGCTTTTATTACGTGGATTATACCGTACGCCCCCGTTCTCTCGATACTAAACCCGGGATTTATCGACAGCCTATAGGGCAAGGGGCGCAATGATTGACATTTCAAGCAGACGACATTTCAAGCTATTGGCACATCCGTATCTACCTCTGGATCTAATGCGTTTCTTATCCCGTAGTGCCAATCACTGTCCCGGTGCACCCGGAGGACTGCTGCACCTCCTTGCGTAATCGCAGGCCACAATGGCAATCGGGCCTTCTTTTTCACTATTCCCCCCCCTCTCACCCCGATATATCGACTATCCTCGCCCTATAATTCTGTCACTCTTATCGGCTGTTTTACGGCGTGCTTGTCCCGCACGTTTATATCGCCCTCGTGTCCCACCCCTACGCGGCTTTTTTATCCGGCGTGCCTCTCCTCGCGGATGGCGTCGCGCATCCTCGAGATTGCGGGAATACGCGGCGTTCCTTTTTATTTCTTTTTTTTTTATCCTCGATTTCTTCCCAGGCCCACGCCCAGGAAGTCGCGTTTCACGCCTGTCCCATATTTCACCACGTGATACCTTCGCGAGGAATATCGCGACTCTTAGACCTCGTATACGGCGATTACGTCGATAGCGCGTCTCGGAATGAAAGAGGGAGAGAGAAAAAATCACGGGTAGATGAAACGTGAATAAAAAATGAGGAAAATAGAGTTCACTCTATTTTCCTATTTTGATTCTTAGGCCTCGCCTCGTATACGGCGAATGCGTCGATAGCGCGTCTCAGAATGAAGGAGGGAGAGAGAGAAAAAATCACGGGTAGATGAAACGTGAAAAAAAAAATGAGGAAAATAGGAAAATAGAGAGAACTCTATTTTCCTATTTTGACTCTTAGACCTTGCCTCGTATACGGCGATTGCATGGATAGCGCGTCTCGGAATGAAGGAGGGAGAGAGAGAAAAAATCACGGGTAGATGAAACGTGAAAAAAAAAAATTAGGAAAATAGGAAAATAGAGTTCACTCGTCGGCGTGTTTTTACGATGCAAATCGAGTTCCCCGGAGAGACTCCTTGGACCGTGACAAGAGGAGCAAAAAGCCCCTCGCTGACACAATGAAAAGTCCTGGCCAGAGGGGGAAACCTCTCCCTTCCGCGTTTCCGCATTTCCATAATGAGCCCGGGGCTTTTTACAACTTTTTCCACGGGCACTAATAGGTCCGGGCTAATGGCTAATTTTAACTTCTACCCTTGGCTTGTCTGCTAAAGTGCACCCGAATGCCGCGATAAAATGGATGAGTGAGAGTCCCCGAGTGGGGAGATAGGGAGTCCAACGAAATTCACATTTCCATCACAGTTTTCCACGGAAAGGGAGGAAGAAAAAAAAAAGAAGGAAAAATCGAGAGACCTAAGAAACCGGGATTTCCCGAAACCCGGTGCTGTCGGGTCGATTTTTCAGGAAATTCGTGGACACTGGAGTAGTCACCGTCATCCGGAGATAATTTCACATCGAATCTCGACTAATCGTTCATTCCTCGGCGTTATTCCCCTGGGAAAAAGGCGATTGTTTGCCGGGACGGTATTTGATAACCCAGTTGTTTATTGTCCCAGGAGATAGGGACGCGACGGTATCGCCGGAGTCAGATTTCCGGTCCATCAGTCGAGAAGCAAATGGCGAGACTCTGATAGTGGAGGCGCCTCTTCTTGCCAAGTGCCGGTGGATCGCCTCGACAATTATCTTCGCTAAAAGCGGAAGGGGACGGTGCACATCGAATGCATCTCTCCAAGAGAGGATGCACCGCGTCGTATGAAAAATCGTAGCGATTTCCCGAGATTACAATTTCTTTTTCTTTTTTTTTCTTCCTCCTCTCTTCGTACGTTCATTCGTCGATGGGAAATCGAGAGGCGCGTCGCTGTCGACGCACCTGGGTAACGTCGGCGTGGCTCAATCGTCCCGGATGACAATTGATCCTCTAAATGGATTTCTGGGAGATCGGTAAGGCGAGGCTCGCACATGACACTTAAGATTCCTCTCGATCGAGCACATGCGCACGCGCGAAGGCACGTCGGGTATGTGACATGCTCTCGTGGAGAATCATACGATTTAAAGAGGGGGCTGTCATCTCAGGTGCATCGCGCATGCGCCCGCGCGACTCGGCGCGTGAATATCCAATCGGGGTAGAAATGTCGTAGGGAATTCCCGGCACGTGCAATTAAAGCGATGCATCCGACCCCACCGTCAAATCGGTTCTCGGTCAGCCGAGCGGAAAATTCCAAATTCCGGCATTCTCCTAGGACTTCGATGAGACTTCCGAAAGTGGAGGTGCGATTAATTTGCCTAAGGTAGCGGCTAAGCACCCGCGAATATCTCTATGTTCCCCTGCAACCCCGGGGTTAAGTGCACTTTTCGCGGCATCGGATCTCAAATGAAAGTGCACGGCAGATCGCGCTAATAATTCAGCAAGAGATCCGCACTCGAGTCCAGAGTCAATAGGCGGAGCCGAGTTTCGAATTTGAGCGCACCTCGGATACTTAAGATTCACTTAAACCGCTAATGCACCCGCAACGCGAGTCTTACCGACGTTGCACCACCGAGCACACCTACGAGAATTCGGTCAACGTCGTTTAACATCCACCAAAAGGCCGAATCGAGCCTGCATTCAAATCCTTTCATTAGAATCATGAATCTTAATCGACCGGTTATCATGTTACAAAATCAAGATTTAAATCGCGATTTATTAAATCTCGAAATGCACCGCGCACCCATAGAACCCGATGATCCGACAATGGCGGCACAATTGAAACAGACCTCGCAATTTTTTCCCTCTTTTCCCCTCTTTCTCTCTATTATCTTACACATACATTTTCGCGGCGCAATTCCGCGACGACCTATCTAGTAGCAAGAGAAGGAAAATAAGAGAGAGAGAGAGAAAGACAACACGAACGCGGACTCCAAGAGAAGCGTTACGCGATCCTCATGAAATCCATTCCGACATTCAAGTGCACCTAGACACCGAAAGTGCGCCGCTCGAGAGGGTAATTAAGGCGTAAAAAGTTCTCGCCAACGCGATCGATTAGTCCCCGATCGATATCAAACTGGTCTCGATAAAATAATTTACTCACCGATGGCGATCGATGAACTCGAACTAGCAAACGGTATGCACCGAAAGCGGGGAAAGAAAAAAAAAAAAAAAGGAAAACGGTGCAACGGATGCAACCAAATTTCTGATCTCTCCATTTCACTTGTTTTTTTTTCTCTCTCCCTTCTACGTGAAACTTACGTTACGAGGTGTGTAAAGCTGTACGCAAACGTTCATTGATTTTAATCAGGGTGTTGCCTCCGTGCGGCGGTGCATAACGAGATCCCGGGTCGATGCAAAAAAGTGCATGGAACCCGGTCGGCGATTACTCGGTCACTTCCGGGGGGGGGGGGGGGTTCACAAGTGCGTAAAACGCTTGCACTTGAAAACGGATAGTTCGGCGGATGAATGTCGGCCTGTGGACACGGCCCCGGGAGCAAAAAGCCGGCGTGCAGCGCCGCGTGCATGCACTAGGTGCACTTGCAAGCGGATAGCCCTTTAAACGTGTGTCGGTACGCGGGGAACCGCGACAAGGTGGAGGGCGGGCAGGGGAGGCGTTTAGTATTCCAGGCGGCACGCGGGACTCGGCTTTCAATTTGCGGCCTGCAATTTGTCTACGATGCACCGGCGCGATACCGAGTGCATGCGCGACCTATCCCAACGTCCCGATGCGCAAGGCCGAACTTCCCTCCGGGGATCGAGCCGATTAAAGGGGTGGACCCCATCCCCGGGGAAACAGTTTCTACTTTCTCCTTTCCTCGATAATGTTCATCCGATTCACCCTGAGATCCTCAATGAATGCATTTATAATGAATTGCATTTATAATGGAAATGCAATTTGTCTACGATGCACCGGCGCGATACCGAGTGCATGCGCGACCTATCCCAACATCCCGATGCGCAAGACCGAACATCTTGACCGAAGTCTCGAGGGAAATCTATGATAAGAAAATATCGGTTCTTAACTCCCCGTTTCGTTGGGAGGGTGGAGGGTCATTTAATCCACATTTTCCCGGGGGATGGCCGCGATGCAATTGCGGGGGAGTCATCGGCGATCGGGCGAGGGCACTCGGTCATTTTAATGAGGCCCTGCTTCCTCGTCGAGAGGATCGCCGATGACCGCTCGAGAGGATTTCCCGGATTTACGGGGAAGCTGGAAAATTGGATCGAGCCTCGAGAGCACGTCCGAGCGACGTTTTCACGTGGTTCTTCGTTCCAGGTCCTGACGACCCTGGCCCTGTCCATGGGGACCCTGGCATCGGGCCTGGCCAAGGGGTACACCTCGCCTGCCCTGGACTCCATTTTGGATGCCCAACCAACGCATCTCTATCAGTCGACCGGTAACGACACTTGGTGGGTAGTCTTCCTCATCGCTATCCATAATTTGGTACATTTATCCAATACCGGGTTTAGAAGGTTTATCATTGAGGTACCATCTAAATTGAAATTGGTTCTTCGATTTTGCGCATCGTCACCCGGAACTTTCGTACATCTCCCCAGGTCGGGCTTTTCCGTGACGAAGCAGGAGGCCTCGTGGGTGGCGTCCTTGTCGATGCTGGGCGCCTGGTTCGGGGCGATGATAGGAGATTGGATCATGCGACGAGGACGAAGGCTGGCCCTTAGGGTGACGTCCTTGCCCCTGACCACGGCATGGATCCTCACGGCAGTGGCACCTTACGTCCAGCTGGTCTACCTGACGAGCTTCGTCGGGGGTTTGTGCTGCTCGGTCATCATGATGGTCACCCAGGTACCCCCGAGTCGTCTCTTCTCCTTTCCTCTCTATCCTACATCCCGGGGGCAGACCTTTTGTCTTCTTCCAGCAAAGACGTAACGTCAGGTAACGAGCCTTCCTCTTCCAGGTGTACATATCCGAGATCTCGATGCCGGGCATCAGGGGATGTCTATCGGCCATGTTGAAGGTGGTCGGCCACGTGGGGGTCCTGCTGTCGTACATGGCAGGGACGTACCTCGACTGGCGACAAAGTGCCCTGCTGGTCGCCATAGCCCCGTTGATGCTGTTCCTGGGGTCCATCTTCATCCCGGAGACGCCTTCGTACTTGGTCCTCAACGGGAGAGACGAGGAGGCCGCGAGGAGCTTGCAGTGGCTTCGAGGCTCCCACGTGGACGTCAGGCACGAATTGCAGGTAACGATACGGACCAGTCCGAGTGCAATCAGGACTTCGACTAACTCCCCACATCGCGAACCCCACCTAAAATCGGCTGGGGTTTAACATCACGCGGGCAAGGATCAGCTGACTTTTGTTCAATCGGCCATTTTTTATCTCTCGATAGAATGCATCGTTTCTATCAACCCTGGGTTTCAGGTCATCAAGACCAACGTCCTGGCATCCAGGGCGAAGCAGTACGGCCTGACCTTCCGCAACAGCGTGTTCACCCCGCGGCTGTACAAGCCGATCGCCATCACCTGCGGCCTCATGTTCTTCCAAAGGTTCTCGGGTGCCAACGCCTTCAACTACTACGCCGTTATCATATTTCGCCAGACCCTGGGAGGGATGAACCCCCACGGGGCGACGATAGCGATCGGCTTCGTGCAGCTTCTTGCGTCCCTCCTGTCAGGTAATTCCTTCTGGTCCATTGGATTTGATCGAAAAAAAATAAAGAAAACCAGTCGAATGCGGTGCAGGCTCTTCTGGCTGCGATCACGGAATCGGCGGATCAACGATTAACGTCCATTCTCCAGGTTTCCTGATCGACATCGTCGGCCGCCTTCCTCTGCTGATCGCCAGCACGGTATTCATGTCCTTGGCCCTGGCCGGATTCGGCAGCTACGCCTACTACATCTCGATGTCGCAGACGCAAAACCTCCCTTACGCCGACCCATCGGTGATCGGACAACACGACTGGATTCCTCTCCTCTGCGTGTTGGTGTTCACCACCGCCCTCGCTTTGGGCATATCGCCAATTTCGTGGCTATTGATTGGCGAGCTCTTCCCTCTGGAGTACCGAGGTCTCGGGTCCAGCATCAGCTCCAGCTTCAGCTACATCTGCGCCTTCTTCGGGATCAAGCTCTTCATGGATTTCCAGCAGGTCGGTGCCTCCGTCATTCGAGCTCGCGGATAGCGTGGCTCGCGATTAGGGATTCACAATCCGTTACCACCAGCCATCGTTAACGAGAAAGTCCCATTAACGCGGCCGGAAAGTTCCGATTATCAGTTTAAATGAATCATTGACGCGACCACATAACATCTCGCTACAAATGGAACGCTCCCCCCAAACAAATCTAGCCTTTCCAGATTCGATAAAATTGCCAAAAGAGCCGAAACGACCATTTCCCCATCCCAGGGACCTAGAATATAACATTTCCCCACGTTTCAGTTGCTGGGCCTGCACGGAGCGTTCTGGTTTTACGCGGCGATGGCGGTGTGCGGCCTCTGTTTCGTGGTGTGCTGCGTCCCGGAGACGAAGGGGAAGCAGCTGGACGAGATGAACCCAGAATACGCCCAAGCCCGGTAGTATAAGGCCTCCCTCACGGGAGGGCTGTCGAACCTGGAGAAGACGAGCAAGCCACTGCCAGGAGGGGCCTACCCGAACGAGCACGACCCCCGTGCCCTGTACAGTTCGACCCCCGGTCCCCATAGGACGACCAACCCCTCCAACCCCATCACCGAGATGTACCCCCGTAGAACGAGCGGGAGCATCATCTCCGACTACTGCGGGATCTTCGCCGAGAAGACGGGCAGACTGGGCAAGAACCTGGGGAGCTACGTGCAATCTCGAGGCTTCTTGACGACCAGACAGGACAACCAGCGACCATCGAGATTGATCGACCATCCTGGGGAGAAGTCGACCTCCAGGTTGAACGGGACCACCGGGATGAGAGGTCTCGATAGAGCCAGACAGGACCCTAGAGGCCACCGACGAGACCTCTTCTCCCAGGAGCTGGACCTGCGGAAGAAGACCTCCTGCAGAAGTCGACCCGGAAGACCGGCCCTGGAGAACGGGAACCACCTGGGGTCAAGACGAGTCGAGAAGGTGGACGTCGGTCTCGGGCCGTACTCCACGGTGCCCCGTAGGAGCAGGACCGTCGACTTCGGCGGGAGATCGAATTACGACGGGGTCAGGAGATCGGGGGGACGTCACCCCAAGAGCTTGCACGACCTCACCGACCTGGAGCTAGAGGACGCCCTGGGCAGGGGATACCCTCGTCCCGGAACCTCCTGGAGGAGAGAGGGCAGGGACTCGAGGCCCTTCGAGGACGTGGACGAAAATTATGCCAAGCTTTACAGGAGCCTGTCCAGGCTGGACAGGAGCCTCCCCAGGGGTAGATACATGCCTGGCAAGGTGCATTACGAGAGGGAGTACAGGATCTACGGCAAGGACACCGTCGCGCTAATTTACTACAAGACCTGTTACTTGTGATCCGCGAAAGAGCCGACGAGGTTGGGCATCTACGGATCCGAAGGGAGTCTCGAGTCTAAGAAATTCATCTCGGTTGGACCTCGAAGTCCTTTATCCTTTTTAGCCAGTCGAAAACGTTCGACGGGAAGACGGAGCGAAACCAATTGGCAAATATAGTCATGAACATTCAGTACCCTAATGCATTGATAAAAATTGACCGCTGATCATCCAGGACATCCAAAAGGGGATCCAAACCGACGATCCCGTTGGTCCAGGTCGGTCAAGGATCCTCCTGGGGAGATAATGAAAATGCGAATCCGCGCCTGGGGAGGCTGACGGAGAAAACTCGAGATGGAAGAGGATGCAACCGGGAGAGTGCATCGGACTGGCCTTCTTCCACGGTGCATCCGGGACTCCTGGGACGCGACACGAAGAGGACGAAGAGGAATTCGGAATTAATTGGAGCGACGTCGGGCACGATCGTGCCCGATAACGAGGCCACTCGGAACGGGTCTCTCTTATCGCGCAATGCGATGATCGATTACCCAAACGAATTAACGGGGTCCACGCTCCTCTAAACGGTGGGAAAGACTGCCGTCGTTCGCGTTCGGCAGGATTCAACGGTGGCCATTTCTCGCGAAAGATTCCCAAGTGAAACGCGACGACTGACCCTGCCTCGAGGAATAATTTCCCCGGGATTTCTTTCCTCTAAAATTCTACGCCTCCTTCTCGCCCTCTGAGCATTAATTTCCGATTTATTTAGACTACTGTCGGAGATGAGAGACTACCAAATTCGGACAATACCTTGCACGTGGCCAAAATAAACGTTCAGAGAACGTTGATAATTCCCGCGGGAGCGTTAATAATTACCAGAAACCGAGCTGATTAAGTATCTCTCGTTTCCGAAAAGGAAAGTGGAGCACCGAGCTATCTGGAAGAGTGACCAATCTGGCGCATCATAATTAAGATTAATCGACGGACCACGAGGGCTCTTACGGCTCCTTTTGTATGCGCTATCCCACGACAACGTTGACAATAATTAGGGTGGAGTTTCGTTAGGGGGATTATGCGACTTGCGACGATTCTTTCTCTTCGGCGGACCTTTTCGAGAGAAAAAAAAAAAAAAAAGAAAGGTCGGTTGACTCAAATAAACATGCATTGCGTAAATTACGTCCTAAGAGATGTTATCAATGAAGAGAACGAAATTCGCATAAGTCAACGGTAACGATTCATCCCCTCGACGAAATAATTGTTTCTTGCAATTGTACACGAGTCAGACAACGATATATTTTTTTTAGTCGACTGATCTTTTTTTTTTTTCTCAGTCTGGGACCGCGAATCGTTCGACGACGGTTTTTCTTCCCAGAGCCAGCCAGACTTAGCCGATCGCTGAAGGCAAACTTCCATGCATCGTGCCTTCCTTGTTAAACCATGACAATATTACCACTGTATCGGTAAAGTAAAATTACTGTAAATAATTAAAGGAGATTAGGCCGCGGCCCATAGTAAGGGCCATTAGGGTTCCCCAGTCTCGGGGCAAAGTGTGTTCTATTCGGATAGAGAGAAGTGCAGGGACCTTAAGAGCGAACGGACTTGTTTTTTGTTTTTCCATTCTAGAGATTTTCTTGAGTCTCCAGGTACGCTCCCTTTTCTTAACAGAAAGGAAATATTATCTCGAACACTTCGTGCGATCTGATTATACCCATCCCGTTCTTCAGAATCGACTCTCTAATGGTAACATAAAATTGGCGTCGATGAACATAGAATTTAATTTCTTTCCCCCTCTAAAAGAAAAAAAAAAGGGAGGGGGATGATCCGAGGGTGAAGAAAGGGTTAAGCTTGAGGGCATAGAAGTGCATAACGCACCGTACCGAAAATCACGATTCAAGGAGCATTTAACGATCCCCTTAATCACGGCCACGTCGACAGCGAATCAGTCTTCAACATCTCGACACGTGTCAAGCCCTTTCTCGCTAGATAGTTCTAGGATTCCAGACTGTTAAAAAATAAAAATAAAAAGGAGTAAACCAATTCGAGGTTTGCCGAAACGCTCAAAAGTATCGTTAAGTAATCGAGGATGCGTTAAAACAGGGTCTGGGGTGTCTTCGGGAACGGGACGCCCCACGGAAAGAATTTCAATCCCCCCGCGAAGGGATGAAATTTCCTCCTCAACCAGACATATCGCATAAATTTAGACCAATACCAAGATAGCCTCGAGAAAATCGGGAAACCCGAGAGCGAAAGGGAAAATGGAGAAAAAAAAAGAAGAAGAAGAAATCAACAAGATGACTCGCCTTCGACGTGGCCGCGACTCAAGGGATAAATAAATATACCGGGTCGATTAATGATCACCCGAAATTTTTTTTTTTATCCGCGATTTGGCAAGAGGGAAGAAAAAAAGTGACGGGTCATTTTTAAACAACCCAAGCCATAAGATACAAATATACATTAATATTAGCAGTGTACACGATCGCGTACTCGAACACCACGCAGGTCATGCGCGGGCGAGCTTGACTTGGACCTACGACAATATCACTTGTAGATATATATATATATATACATATACATAAATATAAATATTAGAGATAAGTATACACACGTAACCCCCGAATATACTATATTTCGTATGAATTAGACACTCGAGTGTACACTGTCTGATGCGTGTCGAGATTAATCGACCACGTCCACGATTAGCGAGGCAGACGAACGAATGAACTATCGACAATACTTAATCATTGCCAAACTCGTAAATAAGAGCTTTAGGGTGATTTTGTTTATTTTCTCTCTTTTCTTCTTCTTCCTCCTCTTCTATCTTTTCCTACGAAGAAATCGCCGTATACATTATACACTGTAATTATACAGAAATGTACGTCTAGCGACATATCCAGCACGAGAGTGCAATTGCGCGTTTTCCGGCGAGGTTAGCTCCAGATAACAAGCCATTCTACTAAAAACAATAATTAAAAAAAAAAATAGAAGGAGAAGAACAAAACCAAACGATTGCATCATAACTTTGCTCACAGCTTAGTTATCTAGGGTTAACCAAAGGACACTTGTTACTTCGAGATTTACCGCCAATTATCCTGACGTTTCCTTTATAGGCTAATGCCGATCTACTCGAACAGCCGAAGGGCTGTGGTTTTTATTATTTTCGCAGTTTCATATCCACCATATCGTGGTAAATCCCGGGGGTGAAAATGCGAATGGAATCGAGAGTCGAAGGAGCAAGGATTTCGTCGCGCGAGAAAAGGAAGGAAAGAAAGAAAGGAAATAAAAACCAGAGCCGAAGGGGGCCGATGCCTCGTTAGGTTGGCCATAAAACACCATGGATAAGGGACACGAGTCCCATATCCTCGGAATAAGCTTCCTGGGCGTGAAATCCCGAGGAGAAAATCCCAAGTGGGACGAAAAAAAAATGTCAAGCAGGATATCAGTGCCCCCAACGAGGTATCAGCAGGCACCACAAGCCGTTTTAGAGTAACACGTGTATTTTGTATTTTTATATAGTTTATAGGGAGCGCATTAACCAGGGTGTATAATACCGAATTCTAACATAGGGCGGTCACTTATCCCCTAATTTGCGGTCGGAGCCGCCATAACTCAAGGAGGTCTTAAACCAGCAATTGCTTTTACTCCCCTGAATCATATCCCACCGCCATATCCGATATTTTACAGTAAAGTTGAGGTAGAGGTCGACGGAACGTGTACTTAAGTGAAATACATTTATGCGGTGCTCTCTCTCTTTTTTTTTTTTTCTCTCTCTCTCTCTCTGTGAATATTATCCGCGTGAGATAAGAGGTCGCGGTGTTATCTCAGTTTCCGAAAATGGTAACAAGCCAACGAAAAAGAGGGGAAAAATTAAAAAAAAAAAGATAACGAAAATAACGTTCACTTGCAAAGTCTCGCTTCTAAGCATGAGTAGGCCTCGTTTCTGCACGTGGCTTTCGCACTTATAGACGGCTCTTGCATGGAGTACTGGGCCACAGACCGGTAAGTATACAGGACATTTGACCGACAGTGCACGTATATAACGTCCAACAATATAAATGCATCGTCAAGACCACTTATATACTTACCGGTGCACCGAGGAAAGCAAGAAAAAGAGTGTCACTTAAAGCAGAGAAATACCTCATTGCGACTGTTCGATGAATTGTTTCCTCGATTCAATGAATTCTTTTCGAGCCATACCAAAAATCGCGATTTCGAGAGGAGTTTCAATTCCGGGGATGAGTTCAATAACCGCGTGTTATCACTTACCCGGAAGTATCCGGAAAAATTGTTATCAAAAGTTAACCTTAACCAGGCGACGCTACGACTTGTATATGCCGATACGGGATTAAACAATTTCCTTTCGACCCATAAATCGACGATTTTTTTCGATTATTGAAAACGACTAATTATCTTTGCAAAAGAGGAATCGTCCGAGTGTATTAAAAAACCGCTTTAAAGTTCTCTCCCATGGTAAAACCTCGACGGACAGACATCGGATGCGTCTAATCGCAAGCGTTTCGAATTTCAAGACTTCAAGACCTTTCCTTAGCTCCGTAGTAAGTAATCACCGAGGAGGAGGGGAAAAAAAAAAAAGAAAAAAAATCTGCACCGTGCACTTTTGCGAATTGAAGGTTTAAACATACATTTAAATATATATACGTACACATAAATATGCATATAAAGTAGGGGGATAAAATCCAGTACGATGGCCGAGAAAAGCATGCCGTAGGGAGGAGGTCGAGACTATGCAACCCACTGTTAATGAAAGTCGCTTTTAGGATAACAAAAGAAAAAGACAACAAAAAAAAGAACGCTAATTAACTTTTCACCGATACATGTATATACCAAGCCACACCGACTGGCACTTGCATTGCACTCTATCACCTAAATTACAATGGAGGAATTTTTCTTCAGGCTACTTTCATTGATAATCTCTCCCAAAACCCTGCACGGAGACGCAGGCGAGGATTAAATCGACGTTAATGATAATTCTAACGATAAAGATGTATGACGATCCCTTAAAAACTACATACTTCACGACAATAAGGGGAAGTATACACCCCAGGTGGGGAGAGTTAAGGTAGAACCGAGTGCTGGCCGCAACTATACACCTTAAATGCGTTTAAAAGAGATTACCTATACACAAACGCCGTTCGAGATGAAATCTCAAAATGTATTTTCCAACTATTGAGAGGATGCGGTAGAGTAAACGACCCCTCGACGGAGGGTCGTTCCTCTTAGCTTCGCTTACTAGATTTAATATTTTTGTAATGACGCCTAGGGTGTAGTTCGTTTGTACCTTCATAGAGTAAATCGTTACATCTCGGTGAGACAAGTTTACCGAAGCGAGCCGGAATAAAAAATGCTCGACTGTAGCCCCAAAGAAGCGTATTCGTGTGGACGTCCCCAGGGCTCTAAACGAAATAAAATGAATAATTAATACGTTAAAAAACACAATTCCAAAGCACAGTTCCTTGGGAACTGCATATCTATCAGATGAAAGCTCAATATGTCAATTTGAATGCGAGTAAAGAGACTTTCCACGAATACGTCTCTGCGAGGCAGCTGCCAGGCATTTTGCCATCGAAGAGCGAAGCTCCTTCGGAACTCACTTGAAACTTATTAGGAAAGGACTTTTTAACTTCACTCGTAATTCTCGACTGAAAGAAGATAATCTCTTCGATGATAGTAATAAAGGAAACAATAATTATTTTTTTTTCTCTCTCTCTCGATGCGAAGGCCCTATAGATAAAAGAAAGCAGAAGTTGCATTAAGTGCGAAGCATGCCACGATGTTCTCAGTTAGGAGGAAACGGATTAACTGCGTTCTCCGTGAAGTTTTGCAAGGAAGTCTATATGAGATTTTTTATTGTACGAGGGAATTTGTTCGCCTGTCGTACAAGAACCAGTACTGGATTAGTTCCCATGTACGAATTTAGATACGAGTACTTAGCACAAAGTAGTCCTGCCGGGGTAGAACTGTAAGGTATGCGTGAATGAGACTGTGTATTAATTATTGTGCCGATACAATAGCAATTATGTATTTTGCGATACGTGTATACGTGTACTTAAGGACAGCAAGTTGGGATACATCGTGCGAGTACGTAGATACTTCCACTTCCAGAAAGTGAGGGAAAATACAAGGTGCTTAAAATGTCGGGAAACAGTGGAACCAAGGTGTTGTGTATTTGTATAGAGAGAAGAGAAAGAAAGAGAAAATAACAATAGTGTAAAAGAGAGGGCAAGAGGAATACATACATACTCTCTAAAATAAGAGATATTTATTCAAACAAAAACCCGAGTCTTGCAGCTTTCATTGTCCCGTTTCCCTTCTAAAGTTCCACTATAATATATTTCCTTTCGGATATGCTTTCGTTCTGTTTTGTAATATACCGAGACTAATAATCTCATAATTCCCAAGGCATATTATAATATCAAAACGAGCTAAAAAAAAAAGAAAACCACTGCATGGGTGAAGTTCCAAAAAGCGCATACAGACAGATGACAGTGAGAATTGGCGCAAGTGTTATCTTTATATTAGTCGGAAGGATCCGCTTTTCAGAACTTTATACCATTGCATTTCAATGCAATTAAACTCACCGAGCTGGGGCATCGACATGTACGTCTCGCAGTCGACTAAGAACTGTCCAGTCTGTACCGCTCCGAGGGCAATGACTCGCTTCGTGAGGAACTCGATGGTTTGTGGGCCAGTTCGATTCTCTGTAGTAGGAAATTGTTGGAGCCTGAAAATAATACGACAAATTTAACAAAATTAATGTGACGATTTTCAGAATATTATCTTCCCGCTCCCATTGACTATGAATCGATAGAATCAACAGATGAAAACATCACAGAGCTGTTATCATCACGTGCCGAGAAAATATCATAACCTCAAACCGCCGTACCGGATTATTTCGAACAATACACAGTCAACAAAAGATCTGCACCCGGCGTGACATCAAGTCTGCATTAACAATACTCAACAATTCACAATACTCACACTGTGACCCCCATTGTAGAATTAATTCGTCCTAACCATCCACTTTAATTGAAAACGCCGGATTCTCAACCGAACTGTTTATACACAGTCTAGACTCTGGACCAAAGAGTATTAGATAGAGCGGAAGGTCCCATAAGACCGCAATGTAGTTTTGCGTATACGGTCTTCAGCGTTCCCTCATGGGTGGGATAATACACTAAATAACCCCCACTACTTGGGGTCTGATGGCTTCACCGACCACGATTCCAATTCTACGGATTGAATTACCCGCTGAGAAGTACGAAAATTACGGATAATTGACACTTTCCGTGAGCAGATTTTATACGTTTAAGGTGTGAAATAGACCAAGAAATAAAGTTAGTTCGAAAAGGGCAAAGAAATGAAGTTCAATCCTCAAATTTAAGAAACGGATATCACTCGGTCGTGGCAACAGCTCGGACGATACGAGACTGGCGGCAAACGGTAAGCAGCGGACAGAGCTGGTACAGGAAGCCGCCGCAGTTACCGAGCGGCGCCACCGTCGCGGTAAACTAGAATCCCAAAATTCCGCGAAATTCAAATGACTGTAATTTAAAAGACGCCCGGGGATGAATAATTCCATACCTAATTATCGCTACCATTCCCGTGTACAGCACGCTATACGTCATAATGGCAACATTTAAGTAGCGAAAAAGAAACCAGCGAAACTGAGTAAAGTAGTAAATCCAATGTTTATACAAGAATTGACTGCGTGATACCTTGATTAATAAACACAAAATACCAATCAAGACCGTATAAATAAATGAAATGTTGATTTTAACCAACCCAATAGCCTACCGGAGATTTAGCGAAAGTTTTGTAACGATTTTGCGAAATAATGCCCCCCGTTTTTACGTCAACATTCGGTTTTATTTCCAGGCTAAATCAGGGTTTATACATGTATGTCTAGTCGAAATAATTATTCAACGAAGTCGGTCGCGTCATCGCTCGTTGGTTTCGATAAATGAGTCCATTTTGCGGTACTCTGGACGATTGCGTAACAAAAACGGGACGTTTATTCGTGCATGTAGGACCATAACCATTTTAAGAGTAATGACTGGGCTGGCCTACGGTCGCGGATGGGTAGATCGTTTAACGATTTCTCACGTGCACCGATGAATGGAATCGTTCTGTATTTTCGTCACGTGTCCCTCGACATCCGGTCCCATCTTCCGGCCCAGGTTTTATTATTAGCCCCGCCGCTCTCCCTTGGACCAATGTTCCTAGTTCCCTACCGCTAGTTTTCCCCTAGATCTTTTCTCTGTCTTTTTAGCACACCGCTCTGCCACCTCCCATCGCTCCCAGAAATTTCAATTTCACTAATCCGAGGAAAAGCGTATCGGCGCGTTAAATTAAAAGTCTCGGTCGCCCATTCAATGTGCATCCCACGGCACGTGATGGACATTCCGGAATTCAATTGATTTCACATCGCCTACACACGAGGAGTCATCGACCGGGACCTCCACGTCTCTATTTGATGTACCTCCCTTCTTAAAATATCCCTTTAATAAATGCCCATAAAACCCTGACATTTTTATTGTATTAAACTGCAGTTACAACTTTTTAACACTGATCTCAGACTTCCTCAGATTCCTTGCCCAGTGCATTAAATGCAATGCAGTATTTCGTTAAAGATGGCTCGAGGCAAAAGAGTCGGACAAATTGTCATTGACAAAAGGAAAATGAACCGTCGTTCGGTCTCGAACAAATTCGACGCTCGAGGAAAGTCCCAAACTCGGTTTCCCTCTTTCTCTTTAATTTCCTCACACTTTAAATTCCGAGGACTTCGAAAAGACTTTCGGCACTGGCACGTGGAATGAAGATCCCTTCGGAGTTGGGGGCAATCTCCATTTTTCTCCCCTTTTAATTCCAAGCTAATGTCACGAGGTAGGACTCTTTACTTGAAGTCCGTCGTAGAGGTTTGTGGGGGGAAGAAAAAAATTCCAAAAAAAAAGAAGAAAATCGAGACACGTGGAAAGCCTCCCACGACGATCCACCGGATCCTGAGGGATGTCCTTTGAACCAGGACTCGATTTTAACGAGGACTCGACAAGTGTTCGAGACGGTGAGAAACCTCGCGGAGGCGTTTTCTCGCGATTCAACTGGTTTGTTTTGCTTCGTGTCACGTTTTCATTTTTTTTTTCAGGACTTTTTACCTCCCAATGGCGTCTGTGACGTCCTGGCAGTTACTTGGAAGTCCCTCAGCGTCGAATAAATCCCCTTTGATCCTGGCTTGTGGTTCAAACTCGGCGTTTCCCAAAGCTACTGTGACCTGACACCAATCGAACCGATTGATCGGCGTCACAGGTGCGTTCTTGACCCGTCCAGGCTTATAGGGCAGACACTTTTTTTTTTATTTAAAGAAACCCCATTTTTTTATACATTGTCCCTTATTAACGCGTGGGATTACTTTCCAGCTGGCGGTAAACTATGAGATTAATGAGAACGTGTAATCGGAAAAAAATGGGACACCGAGGTGATACATTTCAAGCACCATAAGCATCTAGAATTTCCTACGTAAATTCAATTGTGACATTATTCCCCATGGAGAAACCATTAAAAATTACCTCCGTTCACTTTAATAATAATAAAACACGGTCGGCGAAGACTGGAGATATCGATAACGTGATATCCCGGAATTCCTGGCATATATCCATCGGGGATTATCAATCTGGCAAAATGACTTTATGAATTCTCGATACGAGGCCTGAGGTCGGATAAATGAAGTGCATTGGTTTTATGCAGAAATTATGCACCCGCGTAAAGAGAACGGCCTCCGCTGATATAATTCACCAGTATCTTACAATATAACTTATTAACGATGAATGGCATTACTGTAATCTGCATCCTTGCGATAATGGGAATTTTATATCGATGCAAGTCCCAGTATCTGCATCCGGTACGGAAATTGCAGGCGCAATTGAACGCGCACATCAAGTTATGGTATTTAATACAGATCGATAACAGCGAGATAATTATTTTTTGAGTTAAAAAAAATATATATATATATTATCTTGGTTCAATTAATTTCTTCTTTCTCGGGGTAGACGCGGAGGTCTTGACCATTTTTTAGACAATGAAATACAGAGTGTCCCACTTTCTTATCTGCCTGCCGGTTTTATTTAACTGGAAAGCAATTTCCAGGCGATCATTTTACTTTCAGCACCGTGGACGGCACTCGTTCTTAAAGTGGAAAATTGCCTCCGAGGCGTGGATAGAAATGTCGTTGAAAGGTAGGTGGAAGTAGAAGCCATCGTCACTGAATCATTCGCGACACGGTCATATTTCCAGCGAGTAATCGGAACCTCGCTGGCGAAGCTCTTACGTGCGCTTTCCTCCTGTCAACAAAACCCAGAGTTGAAACGAAGACCTCCTGAAAGAAGTAACAAATTTAAGAGCCCCTGCAATTTCCATTAAACCGACAGGTTGGTTTTCCCAAGGTTCCTCGAGTACTCTTCGCCTTTTCTACCGACCATTCAGAGGTGTCCTCTGTTCAGGTAAGAGAACGTCTAGAAGCTCTTTTTTTAAGAAAGAACTGAATAAGAAAAATTCCCCCAATGATTCATTATCCCCTTGCTCATTAAGGTGACATCCAAGTGGCTTCCGAGAGGTCGGATTATTAATAAGACTTTTAATCTTCCTATACCAACCTCGAGTAAATTATTCCCCACTTACATCGCCTCGAAACGAAGAGGACGTCCCGTGAAAATATAGACGAGACGTTGATTTTTATTATTTTCCTTTAATTTATCGAAATCCAGGTCGAAGTCACTTGACCTTCTTTCCCGATTTCAGGGCAATTCGTTTAATCTATCTCTCTGAAATCATTTCCGGTTGGGAGCGATTTGTCTTTTTTCGATCCGCTTTCTTCGCCGACCTTTGGCGTGCTCTTTAGTCTCTTTAATCCCCCCGAATGCATCTTTTCGGAATAAGAGCCGGTTAGTTTCTTCCTCTCTCCTCCTTTTCCCTGGAGGTTCCTTTTACATCGGTCTTCAGTCTCCTTTAATCTCCATCGGATGCACCTTTTGGTAACGGCACAGTTTACGTATTTTCCCGCCATTTACTCGGACAGTGAATAAATCCAATTTCTAATTCTTCCATTCTACGATATTCCACGTGGAACGTCACTTGCGAGATGTTCCAAGATGAATGTAAATTATCATAGATTTTTATCGGCGCTTCCTTTTCTGGGTACGCGTCCTGGATCGAGTTCTTGTACTTGGCTACTTTCGAGACGACGATGCTCGTGATAAATCGTTCGAGTGCTCGTTAACAAGGCGACTTTCCAAGCGACTCTGCCGCTGCGACGAGAAAGACAAAGAAAAGGGGAAAAAAGGAAGGGAAAGGATTTTTCCCTCGGCGATCGATCGGCCGATTTTCGTTCCTCTCTTTGCGCTTTTCACTTTAAGAGATCCACCGGCGATAGAGGCCGACAGACAGAGAGAGAGAGAGAGAACCGGTCGTCCCGGAAGAGCGGGGACATTCCCGGATATCCCACCACGATTACGTACAGAGAAAGAGGGAGAGACAGGAAAGGCGCGAGTGGATTTACAGGAGAAGAGGGAGGATTACTCCGAAAGAGTGTCGCTTAACGAGAAAAGGTACAGCATCCGGGGGAAGGAAGATTCCCCGGTAATGGTCACGGCATCGATCGCCGATTCAACGTCCAGAATCTTAACCCAGATATTCCCGACTTTTATTTCCCCCCCCAGAAATCATCTTCTACCCCCGAATAATAAAATCAATTGTTTCACGGAAATTTCTGAAACCAATCACCCGATAATTGTGAGTTCAATGCACTGTCGGTCATCTCCCCAGGGATTCGAGAACGATTTAGAGACCGCCATCCATCTTGGAGAACAGCCGCGGAATAATAGGCCTTCCGCGACATTTACAACGGTCGGCGTAATTGCGATAAACGTGCAATACGCTACAATAAGTATGTAATACACCGGGGGTAGAGTAAAACGTGAAGCACACATTTCCGGGAGCAATCGGCGTCTAGGATCTCGGAGCGTCGCGTGCTGCAAGCGTGTGCCCTTTTCTGCATTCAGTTTGCCGGCGAGATTAACGCCCGACTTGGCAATGGCCGAATGCCAAATCGCTTATCGGACCTCGACTTACGGTGCATCCTAAGGGCAGGTGCCTTAAAAATTGACCGAAGTTGAGCAAACGAACCTTCGTGACCGTACCACCAATAATTTCCATAGCAAAGACCGAACCAGCGATCCTTTCTATCGGAAAGATCGAACCGGCGATTATTTCTATCGGAAAGATCGAACCAGCGATCATTTCTATCGGAAAGACCTAACCAACGATATTTTCTATCGCAAAGAC